AATAAAAGTAATAGCCTTCTAGCGAAGAAATTAATCTTTAACCACTGAAAATTTCAAAGCAATTGGTCCAGTATTCGAAGAGAAAAGCGATTTTTTAAAAACGTGTCAAGGAACAAGAACAACAACATAATATTGAAACGATCGTTATGGCCACTAAACGTGTCCAATAAATAAGAATAATCATAAAATAAATACAGTGCTGGAACACTTAGAACATAAATACAACACACACTTGATCATTTCAGTACAATAAACTAAAACAAATAAAAATGGATGTGCAGTTTACAGAGATTATTTGCTGATACCAGAGTTTCTCAAATTGGACAGACCGTTCGACCCCTTGGAGGGGTCTGTAGCAGTTCTCAGGGGGTCAGAACAAACAGTGTCAAAACAACCACTTTGAAAGTATGGATTTGTAATTATATGAAACGGAAAATGAACTTTAAATTTTCAGATTGTCTCACCGCGGAATGCTGTTCAAAAACAGAATTGAAATGCACTAATTAGCAAATTAAAATAACACAATGCCATGACTCTGTGAACATGTAAGTGGCAGAATAATTAAAGGTATTATAACAGTGTTCCAATTCTGCTAGTTCAGCTACATTGCTGTCCAGTTGAATTTGAAGATTTTTCAAATTACCACAAAGAGATCAAATGTATTTACTCATAGGGGAATTTTATGCGAAGTTGAAAAAGGATCGAAAAGCCTGTTAGTGGCTGCATAAAATAAAACTCGAAACCAGGAACATGGATAGTTGAATATACCAGGGGGCCAGATACAAATAACTGGGTGAAACCACAGGCCACACCTTTTTTAACAGGGGATTTCTAGTAGTTGCAGGCACAAAAACTTTGATTATTGATTTTATGAAATGCGTTGTTCGCTTTGCACAAGCTAGCTGTTGCGGCATTGTAAAGTCATAACATGCTGGTAACATATCAGATTAAACGAAGTTAAAAACTCGTTTTGCGGGCTGCATACATTTTAAAATTGGCACTTCTTCGCGGGCTGCACAATTTTTTTTTTGTTGGACGCATTTGACCTTGGCCCACAGGTTTCACACCCTTGGAATAGACCAGGGGTTCCCAAACCAGGGATCGCGACCCCAAATTGGGTCGAAGTGATGTAGGGTCGCAAACAAATCATGGGGCCGGTGAGGTCGCTGAGGTATGTTGGAGGATGGATACACAAATCATCTAAGATTTGACATACTGTGTTGAATTTAGCAGTATAAAACCATGGCTTACTGTAAAACAGGCCCATAGGCATCGCTCTATGCTCATCCTATAGAAAATGTAGGTGCTTATTGTGACATCACTGTTTGGTTTTAGCTTATTTTACTTAATTAATACCACCACATGACCAAACTCAAAAGTCCAGTGAAAGAAGTTCTTCTAAAGTTTCATGAAAAATATATATATATATATATATATTGACTAGAGGTAGGGGTCGCACTGGACAGTTTGAAAGTTGTGTTTGGGGTCGTCCTGAAAAAAGCTTGGGAACCGCTGGAATAGACCGATAAAATATTCTTAATAATGTATTTGAAATAGAAAATTTGTTTTTAAACATCCTTAATCACACTTTTATGTCCCACATTCACACTTTTCTCTTTGAACAAGGCCCTTTAGTAGCATCCACCGATATCAACAACATGTAAGAAGTTGTAATTAATCTTGGAACAAGGCAGCTTTCAAGTCCTCAACAACAACAAACTTCTCCCTTACTTGCGGATTTGGAGTTTCAGCATTTAGCACGGTATCATAAATCATACTATTGCCAGTGCTCCCATGAGAATCATTTGAAGAGTGAAAAAAACTGTCTTTGGGAGCACTGGAACTCCTTTTATGAGTTTCGTTTATACTACCATTTGTGGTGAGGACAGTTTTATCGTACGTGGCGTCGTATGATCGTCGAATTGAACTGCAATCCGCAGGGTCTCCTTTATCGAACTTCGGTGGCGACGGTTTTAAACCACTAGGTGGTGAATTCTTCATTTTATGGTGAAATCGACGAATGTTTCTTTGGTGTTCGGTCTTTGATGTTGAAGTTATTCTTCTCTCATGATGATGTGGTAACCTTGTATTGTACAGGTAATGTAATTAATTTTAGTTTTCAAATTTTTTTTAAGTAACTAATGATTTATTGTAAAAGCCACTTTACTGAAGCCATAAGGACTTCTGTAATTATCCCATGGTTTCCCAAGAGAGGATTTTAAAAGTTTATGCCGAGGAAATTTTACTTTTTTTGCATGGTAGAATTGCTAGTAATTTTGACTTATTTAGCAACATCATATATTTTGAAATAAGGAGTACCATTTACATGTGCCGCAAGTAAATGTTTCGTTAAAGATTAAACAACAAATGTAAATGAAGTTTTTGGGCATAGTGGGGGGGGGGGGGGGGGGGGGGGTTGATGAGGAGCTAAAAATTACGCCAAGGAAGGAATGTGTTCATAAAGTTGGGAATCGTTACAATGAAAATAACTTCATGTTGATATGTATGTCTATTTGTCCTAAAATGTAATGGCTTCTGCATAATAAATAAACATTATACCAGAAGAAGCTATGCCGACCAGCAACTAAAACTTTGTGTGAATTATCAAGGGCATGAAGCACGTAGGTGAACTCAATTTGATAGTATGTTTTGGGCGCTCCAGAAGTATGTGTACCAATATGAACGTGACCAAGTTTGTTTGCTATTTTACATCAAGTTGTATAACGGGACTGAAAGCTATGGGCAGGGGTATATTCACTTGTCTAACACAGACAGTCCCCAAACTCGTAATAGAACTAAAATAGAGAAAATCAGAATAAAATTATGGCCTAACCCTAACCTGGTACACATATTACGAGAGTACCATGTTTTAAGTTGAGATAAATATGAAACTATAAGACACTAGTTAAGTCGGATTCGTTTTAAAACTGATGATGCATGCACGGTAATAACATGTTGAAAGGTGTGATATCGCAGATATGTTCCGATTTTGTTGTGTGTTAGATAAGATAGAATATACAACCACGGCCCCTTGTGCGGTTACCAATCCATAACAGGTACGGTTAGAGTTAATCAGTAATTAATTTCATAATCATGGACTTGATAGTAAAGGAAGCTGAAAACTATCACGAAGAGAAATCCAGTAATTCTCTCGCACATCCATATCTCCTACAGGATTCAAACTTGAACACCTGTGAAGGGTAATCAGGGGCGCGATAGCAAGCATTTTCCTTTATACTCAACACAATATGCCAGCTGTCGGTAGTGTCAAAGTCACCAGTAAGTTTTATAGTTTTAGAAAATAATGTTTGATGTTAAGTTTCTTCATCTAGGTGTTAATAATTGTTAGTGAGAATAGACTGAAAGCAGAATGATTCTGAACTCAAAACAGACTGTTCTAGTTCAGGTTTATGAAGATGTCAAGTGGTGTACTACTTAGGTGTTTATGATGTTAGTACAAATAGACTCAAACCAGAAAAGTGCAAGACTCAACACAGACTTATTATATAGATCATTCTCTATTGCGAGTAACGTTAAAAATAAACTCAGAACTGAACACAAAATCAGGCAAAAATAATCAAAAAACCAAAAAAAACTTCACAGCACAGATAACAATAGCAAGCAGGTAATCATGCAATTATAAAATCTCCACTCAGGAACAAAAACATGAAAAATATGATTATTAAAGATTTCGAAAGCACCACTGAAATGTATGTACGACAAATTGCCCCATAAACATACAAATTTTACCTCAGAAAAAATGCACTCAAAAAGGAGACTACGAGCCCCCACTGAGATAATAAAAGCAAAATATTGTGAGAATAATATGATAGATTCACTCATAAACAGATTTTGATATACTTTACCCACTATGTATCAAAATTTTATTACAGGCCTTATTATTATATCATACTTAACAATTTTTCTGAAAAAATCTTACATTTTTATCAACAATGAAAGCCTAAAAACCAGAGTCCAGCAAAATTTTGATTTTGGCTCATGTAGACACCAATGCCTACCTAGCATAACCAACATCATAATATTCCAATTATTAAAAACAAGGTAACATATTTATTGGCTAGTCTAAGCCATAAAGATTATATATAAGTTATATTAGTATATACATAATATCCGGCATATATGATTACAGGTTTTGCACACTAAATATGACTGATTTACACTGTGTGGTAATAAATTTCTGTTTTAAATAAGCCAAAGAGTTTCAATGTGCTTTGTGCAATGTGGGTAGTCAAGTGTCTTAATGCTCTAAGGAGCATTTCAAGCTATGGAAACTCACTACCGTTTATGCTCGTTTTACCGCCCGATCTTGATTAAGAGCCCGTTTGAATAGCCGCCCATATGAACAGAACATAAAAATAAATAAGGGCCGGTGCTTGAATACCCGCCCGATGTAAAAGCTGATTTTTCAGTGGTAGATAACAATAGGAAATAAAAAACGCTTTTGTCACAACGCTGTTGAATTTTAAGCACTGGTAGATAACACTCACGCCTTAGGCGTCCAAGTACATAACAGATAGCATTGATTACGTAACACCATGGTTCTCAAACTGGGCGTCGTATCGTTTCAATATTGATGTGGAGTCGCAAAACTTTTCGTTTAAATCATACTTGAGAACTGGAAATAACAATATATTAATTATTGTAACGATCGAAAATAGCAAGCGCCCGTGCTTGAATCAGGATCGGTTTGAATAAGGTTAGTGAGTTGGTTGAAAAAAATGCGGGGCCCGGGCTACAAAACGAGCAAATACGGTATGTATGATGAGGAATTTATTTTTTTTGGTGCTCCTGAAGTATGTGCACCAAGATGTCGCATAACCTGAACCCTAACCTGGTACACACCCTGAGTTCAGGTTGTGCGCCATCTTGGTGCGCATACTTCAGGAGGTCCATTTTTTTACATTTCAAAAGGGGGGGATGACCCCCTGCCCCAACTCCTAACTCTGGCTACCCCCTTGGTTAAGATCTACTATTTTCAGGCGACCCAGTTTGAGGTTGCGACCACTGCCGTACATGAGTGGATTATGATTGTGAAGATATTCAAAAGGAATACTAAGATGGGTAAGTAATAGCGTGAAATGTTTCAGATTGTAATCCAGATTGTGATGGTTTTGACCAGATCTGATTGGATGGATCCATTTGAAACTTGTCAGCTGAAACCAGTTCTAGCCTGTTTGATCCAGTTTGTAAATAAAATCATGACCCACAGATTCTAATACCGGGTGCTTCTAGCCTATAGTCATGTTCAAATCCAATGTGAAACCAAATTTCAAGTCTAAGGAGAGTCTTGAATAACTGACTACTGTTATGAATACATTGAAAAAAAAATTTGGGACCTCTTGAAGTATGCGCACCAAGATGGCGCACAACCTGAACTCAGGTTGTATACTATGTTAGGGTTCAGGTTGTGCGACATCTTGGTGCACATATTTCAGAAGCACCAAAATTTGAATATGAAATATATGCTAAATAGGTTTATGTTCAACATTCATACAGAGTTCAATAAAAATAGTTTAATACAAAATTCATACAGGTTTATTGTCATAAGGATGATTGGTTTACTCCAATTCAACGAAGTAATTCAAGTTTTTTCCCAAAGTTGGGTCAATTCTGCCAAAAAAACTATTACTGGATGATTGTAAGTTTGGTTGAAAATGAACACTAATAGAAGAATATTGAGAGTTTCAAGAAAAAGGGTGAAAGTTGGAATTTTAAATAAGTTTTCATTCAAAAATATTACAAAAAATAGGTGCTACATGGTTTGTAACAATATTCCCCCAAAGTATTTCAAAGTGAAAAATATGTTTTTCTCATTTTCTCAAAGCAGATTTTTCCAAGTTCCGCCATCAGAAAAGCCTTTGATAGATCAAAAAAGTTTATGCCTTCAAAACCAAAGTTAGTGGAAAAGATTCAGCATGTTTCGCTAGCACTTGAGTCATCTTCAGCGATAGATCCATAGCTTTGATCTGCCATTGTTAATTTCTCCAGCAAAGAAGGACTGCAATGGGCGGTTGAAACTGGTTCTGGCCTGCTTGATCCAAATTGTGTCGGGTTTGACCAGATCTGATTGGATGGATCCATTTGAAACTGGTTGGTAGAAACCAGTTCTGGCCTGTTTGCTCCAGTTTGTGGTTGGCTGGACCCGGCCTGATTGAATGGATTCGCTTGAAACTTGCTGGAACTGGTTTGAGCCAGTTCTGAGTACTTCTGTCTTGCTGAAACAGGTTTCGACTTGTTGGTGTCAGCATGAAGCCGTTGAGACTGGTTCCAACTGGCTGAAACTGGCCTTTGCATACCCAAATCGCCTTGAGGCTGGTTTTGGATTGGTTGGCTTGACTTTGGTCTCTGGTTGCCTTCAGCCTGAATTAATGGCTGGCTTGTGACTTTCACCGTTGGTTTGAAGATTCCTTGTCTGGAATTTGACCAACTATCATACATTTCTGGCTGGTATTGCTTGCCATCAAAATTATACCCTTGGTATTGATTTAAACTCCCCTTTGTGGTGGCTGAACTTGTATTCTCTTTGGCAGTGTTCGTTATGGTCAATCCCTCAAAGCTTCTTTTCAAATCATAACGGCTTGGTTTTGGCTTCAAATGGCTTGGGGTTGGCTCCTTTTGGCTTGAAGTTGGACCAGTTGGATTGCAATTGGCTGACAAAGATAATAGAGCAGACTTATGTCTTTCTGCGGCTCGAGTCAAAACTGGAGAGTCGTAAGAAGAGGATCTTGGCTTGATATAATCCGTATTTAAGATTTCATTCCCTGGAAAAGATCTTGTTCGTTGATGTGTGACGTCATTCGAAAGAGCAGGGCTCGAAGCGGAATCAATTTTTGGTCGACATTCAGTGTTTGAAGTCACCCGTGCTGATGGAAATATCGAACTCTGACCCCCGCTTTCAACGTCATGGTCCAAATAGTATCGAAGACTTAAAGCTGAATCACTGTTTGAAAGCAACTGTGGATTTGCTTTGTCATTGTTGTTTGCGTCACGGTCTTTACGCTTCGGCGATCCAGAAATTATATTTCTTACGAAACTACGAAATCCAAATTTTTTCTGTTTCGCGGTTTCCGCCTCGTATTTATCATTCTCCAAATCGTAACGAAAAGTTTTTTCATCCATGGATTTACTCGAGTATAAACGACGCTTCTGTGGAGAGGAATAAATAAAATGGCTGCCAGGTTCCGGTAATTTCTGACTGATTTGAAACTCATTTGTGAAGAATGGCACGTTTTCTATTCCCTTTTTCGATACTGAGTGATTACTGCGTTCTTTAGGAGCGTTTCTCTGGCTTCTACGTGGAGATCCGTTCCTTAAACTTCGTTCTGCATCAAAGTAATCCGATTCCGTCGATTTCTGATCGTTAGATTGACTATCAAAACTTCCCTCTGCGCTCACATATTCTGGGCTTGGCGGAATTTCGTTCTGTGCCACCGGTTTCACTTTAGATTGTATTTTGACCTTAAACGATCCTGGGTTTGACCTTGAAGAAATATTTCGTTGTTGGTTTGCACCTCGAGACATCGAGTGGTGAAATTCCATAGCTCCGCTAGAGCGAGGACAAATATTTGAATCCATGCTATTGTGATGTAACAAACACAAACATGCAACACATAGTGACAACACAAAGAAAGAAAAAAAGAGATTGTTAGTTAGTTAGACAGAAAAGTTGGAAAGAGACTAAAACTAAAAGATATGTGAGATGCATGCATTTGATGAAAACTCAAAAATGAACCCCCCCCCCCTCCACTTTCGCGAAATAATTCCAATTTATTAAAATAATCATAGCAATTTCAAATAAGATAGCGTTGATATTCACATAAATAGTTTTATCTGCCATAATTGAGCTGTCTTGGCCACAGTTGAAAAGTATACTCAACTTTCCATGTTATTATACGAAGGCAAAGACACAGCATGCAACTGATGCAAGTATCTGGTTATCTAATATTCAGGTATATATGTCTGAACCTACCACACATTAGTAAATTGCTATTCAAAAAGAAAAGTGACATGTGAATGTGATGTGACAACATATTAGTTTACCATTAAGAGGTTATTTTTCCTACCCCCAAAAAATTAACCACTGTATATTAGGAAAAAGAGTTGTAATTAAAAAAAATCTTGTTTCCAAAGGGTATTTCCTCTTTCCATAATACTGAAAAAAGCCTTACATAAAAAGAAAAGTTGTAACCTAAAAAGTTCAAATCTTGGGGTATTTCCCCTCCCTATAATACTGTAAAAAAACATATATAAAGTTGTAAGCAAAATAAAATTATTATTCCAGGGTATTCCCCACAATACTGAAAAATGGAGTTTTGAACCAAAAATTGCAATCCTGAAGGGTATTCCCCCTCCTTATACCACTAAAAATTCAAGTCTAATTACTCACTTTCCAGTGTTTCCTGTCTCTTCATTTTCCTTATCACTACCATAATAAACCAATCCCAAGCTTCGATATAATTCCGCAGTACTAGGTGGAGGTATAGAGTTTGTTGTGTTGGGGGTACTTTTTGTTCTGTGGGGGTTGGTTGTAGCAGTTTTTTGATTGTTCTCTGGAGTGCGGGTTGGCCATGACGGATCAGGAGATCTAAAAATAACGAGGGATTATTTGCTTAGTCACGGCTGTTAAATCCGAACTGCTGTTTAGCATTGTCGGATCAAATCGGATTCATATTTTCAAATTTCCGAAGTCCGGAGTTGAATTCACCGAAATCATAAATCAAACTTCGAACTTTCAATGGTGATGAAAAAGTCAAAATTATCTTGCAAAATTCAAAAATAATTTACTACTCAGAGTGGGATCACACCAACCTGCCTATGTTACATATTGTCAGGTGAGTTATAATAATTAGATGAATGAAGTATGCTTAATGGGTGCTCCCGAAGTATGCGAACCAAGATGGCGGACATCGGAACGTAACATGGGTAACAGGTTAGGGTTAGGCGATAATTTTTTTCCATTTTTCCTTATTTTAGTCCTATTATCAGTTCGAAGACTAGCCAAGAGCCTCCCGTAGTATTTATACCTAAAATTATGGCCTAACCCTAACCTAGTACACATATTACATTCCGAGGTCCGCCATCTTGGTTCGCATACTTCGGGAGCCCCGCTTAATGTCTGGGTAACTTGATAAAATCTATTTCCTGCTTGGGAAATCTATCCCTAAGGGTAAATACTACCCCAATCGGGGACAACATGCTGTGTTGTTTTCAGTAAAATTTCCCTTCCCAATTTCCTAAAAAAGCATTGCAAGTCATTATGGTAAATTAGCCATTACAGTATTCTTGCAGTATATATACGAGGTAGAGGTACCTCGTATATAAGTCGACCTCCTAAAAACGACACTAAAACGATGAATTTATAAAAATTCGCATATACGCCAACCCTACAAAACACGCAAGCGATCATGTGTATGGCAACCAATCACAGACTGTTATTGCTGTTATAGTGTAACGAGCGCTACTTCACATGTGTGCGTGCACGCTTGTGCAAGAGTTGTAGTGTAGCTGTTTGAATCAAGTTAGTATATTGTCCTTTCGTTTGAGTGCACGTTTGAGATAAATTTTTAGTGAGATCAGAGTTATGCACGTATAAGCTGACCACTTAGTTTGGCAACCTTTTTTTTCAGTTTTGAACTCGGCTATATGTGAGGATATAATTACGTCTTCGCGAAGTCTATTAAAAGTAAACCACCTACGTACCTATGTTGCATATTATCAGGTGAGAATGAGTTATGATGACTTGATGAATGCAATCTGCTTAATGTCTGAGTGATGTTATTTGGAGAGTTTTGCATAAGTTGTTGACTTTGGTAACTCTTGGATTGTTGTTGGTCATTTCCCTGAAAAATAGGCTTGATAATCAACAAAGCGTGTCTAGACGGAATAATATGACTGTAATACACATTTGAAAGTGCTGCAATTTTTCACAAGTGGTCATTTGCCTGGGAAGAGGTTACAAATCAGTCAAACATTACTAGCCAGAATAATATAACCTTAATAGACATATGAAACTGCTGCCATTTTAACAAGTGGTCACTCCCCTGTAAAAGAATAGGTGTGATAATCACTGATGCATGTATTTTCGGAATAATATGGCATGAATGTATGAAAGCGTCTCTATTTTGAGGTGATGAGCATGAGATTTAAATCGAAACATTTTATCCAGGCCACTGGTGCCTGATTTTTTGTACAACGGCATATTTTTTAGGCTAGTTTTAACATATTTTGGGTGAAATTCTCATAAGTCGATTTTTCGCACACCCCTAAAAATGAATATGAAAAACTTTTTTCCCTACCTTTAAAGATCTATCTGGGCTTATAGATGGCCTTGCTTGATACGGCTGTTGCCTTGTTGACTTGATATAGTGAGAAGACGTCTCTTTGCCTCTGAGATTTGGATGTGGAGCAGTAGAAGGACGATTGTCTGTTAAAAATAAAAAGAAATACCAAGATGCTCAATTATCGGTTGAAGATGAATAATGCATGCTAACTCTTAATATATTCCTGAAAACATAGTTATGCCCAATTCCAACTGTATTTCGGATGTAATCGCTCATATGTTATTACACTGGCTTAAAGCAAAAGTTTTCGCTGTACAAACGAGAGAGATTCAGGGTTGCGTAAAAATATTCGATTATTCGGTGCAGCGAGAAAAACATATTGTTTAAATTTGGGCGGCCCTTATCCTCACTCATCTAAAATTTGAAAACTTTAGTTGTAAAAATGAGTTGAGAATTAGAACAAATTGTTTTTAAAGGAGGTATGTAGAATTGTTAAATATGAAACTTGGAGGAATAAAACTGAATAATATTAGTTGTGCCCACACTAAAAACTTCTTCCATTTTTAGAATTAAAAATTTAGAAACCATTACGCCACTAATTGCAAAGAAAAGCAATTTTCACACAACCAACGTGAACAACTTTTTATATACAATGCTTATTTAATTACACATTTCGTTATAAACAAACAGTCAAGATTCAATTCAAGTTTGAAAAAGGAAAACGAACCTCTGAAAGGTGTCAGTTGCAGGAAATTTTGTTGGAGCCATTTGTTTTTCTCAATTTCAAATGATTGTCTTTGCTCATCCAACTGAAGTAATGCTTCTGCATAAAGTTGTCTCTCCTGGAAAAGTAATAAATGGTTACAACCATGGCCAGGCACCATGTATGTACATAGTGTGAGAAATTTAAAGAACTTCTCCGTAGGCCTCTGGGTGGCCAGTTTAAAGAACCCTGCTCTCAGGATTGGTCGTCAAGGTCATAGATTGGAAGTCAAGGTCATAGATTCCATGTCAACAAGAAGGTGCTCATTTCCAGAACTTCTCAGCCAAAGCAACTATTACAATCATTATCTAAAGTCATGGTATGCAACCTGCGGACTGGGGGACAAATGCAGCCCACAAAGTAAAATTGGGGGCTTCCGAAGTATGCGAACCAAGATGGCGGACATCGGACTGTAACATGGGTAACAGGTTAGGGTTAGGCGATAATTTTTTTCCAATTTTCCTTATTTTAGTCCTATTATCAGTTCGAAGACTAGCCAAGAGCCTCCCGTAGTATTTATACCTAAAATTATGGCCTAACCCTAACCTAGTACACATATTACAATCCGATGTCCGCCATCTTGGTTCGCATTCTTCGGGAGCCCCTAAAATTGTGCAGCCCCCTGAGATAACAGCTAACTTGTGTCGCATGTCATAAGATCCACATACAAAAATTTTTGTGCCTGCAACTGCTGATAAGCCTATGATGAATAAAGGTCTGGCCCCTGTTTCATCTAGTTTTCATCCAATTCACTATATAAATATACTACCTTATCAAATGCTTGTTTCTGTTGGTTAAATACATTCTTTTCTTTCTCAAAATCAGCTTTTTCTTCAAGAAAATAACAATCTTCAGGAATAGGACGATCTGAACTTTCACCTGTAACAGGAAGGAAGACAATATACAGAACAAGTTGAATAAAGTGCAATGGTTCCCACGCTCTCATTATCTGTGACCATCAAAGACCTCGCCACATTCATCAGCCAAGATAAATAATAAAATCCAACAAATGAAACAAAGAATGCATGCATCACAGTGAATCCCTTTGTGACCCCTTGTGAACCGCAAATAGGGTAACAAGGGCTCACTTATAACAAACACTGCCTAGATTAGGGCTTCCCACAAACTTGGGGTCGCGACCCTGCATGGGGACGCAACAAATTTTGGGGGTCGCAAAGAGAACACCAATTTCACACAGAGTACTATATCTATTGTACCTCTTTAGGCCTTCAATTTAAAATACAATTATTAAAAATCTTGCAAAACATAAATCTCACGATTTCGAGATCAGAGAAGTGGCACGCTTGCATAAAAATGCCGACCTTGGTCGTAAGACCCATGAAGCGGCGCGCTTCTCGAAACAGGGGTTCGATAAAAATTAAATATTTTCAATGTGGTTGCGATCTAAAAAGTTTGGGAAATCCTGGCCTAGGTAATGACAGAAGGCACCCTTGGCAAAGAAATATCGGCAGTGAAAAGATTAAACTAGCCTACCTTCCCCTGTTGTCAGATAATCAATGAGTTCTTGTTGTTGTTGAACCAAATCATCATATTCATTTTCTGTGTAGTTTTCTTCTGAAAAATAGTGTTAGATTCATAAGAAGAAGTACTTCCCAACCAGGTTTCCAGGTTAGACCTTAGTCCTTTTCATTCCCAAACATGGCCGACTATAGAATACGAGAATATCGGTCAGACACCGAAGACTTTTCGACCGATACTAATTATAATGGACATAATTCATCCAAAATTAATAGGCTCCTGGTACGACATATGATGAATGCATAATATGTAAAATCTGGAGCAGATTCAATCTCGCTTTCGTGAGATATCGCGTGCATCTAACAGACAGACAGACAGACAAACAGACAATTACCTATCGGCTATCAACATACTTACCGATTAAAATCGATAAGTAATAACCTATATTTCATGTTTAAAATATTAATATATGGTATTCGGGTCTCCCGAAGTATGCAAACCAAGATGGCGGACATCGGAATGTAATATGTGTACTAGGTTAGGGTTAGGCCATAATTTTAGGTATAAATACTACGGGAGGCTCTTGGCTAGTCTTCGAACTGATAATAGGACTAAAATACGGAAAATTGGAAAAAAATTATCGCCTAACCCTCCCTAACCTGTTACCCATGTTACGTTCCGATGTCCGCCATCTTGGTTCGCATACTTCGGGAGCACCATGTATTCAGTATTCTGATTGTATGCTTACTCTAGTTGAGGACTTGGGAACTTCGAGAGGTTAAGAGGGCTTTCTTTATTTTCAGGAAACTTTGTACATATTCATACCCGTTATGCATAAAATGAATTAAAAAATAAACGAGAACATCGGTCGGAGACCGAAGACTTATCGATCGAAACTGCAATTTCGATTCATGACTCTATAGTGACACTGTGTGTCCCATAACTAATTATTTAATAACTCGCTAATTATACGACATAATTCATCTAAAATCAATAGGCTTCTGGTCCGAGATATGATGAATGCACATGCAAAATTTGGAGCAGATTCAACCACGCCTTCGTGAGATATCGCGTGCATCTAACAGACAAACAAACAGACAAATACTTATCAACATACTTACCGATCTAAAGATCGATAAGTAACAACATATTAGTCTTGAAATTTACTCACTATTAGACTGTGGAGCTTTATCAGCATTCCTAGTTTTCCTAATTTCCTTTTTCAGCGCTCTCCATTTATTCCTGATGCTCTTCTCAATGTCTTCTTTGACAAGATCATACGGCATCTCGAACATTCCATCCGACATCGGCTCCGACACATCAGAAGTTTCAGACTACAGAATTTAAAAGAAATTTAAAAGTGCATTTTGAACACAATTGGATTCCGGAATTACACACTGCGAAACTTACCATAAATCATCACATAAAAGCCCGATTTAAAACTCAAAAAAAAAAAAAATGATAACATAACTCCGACTCGGAAATGATATTATTTATGCTAACTTAATCCCAACAGCTACAACTCGAAACATACTTCTCTACTTATGCAGTGGTGAAAGATAAAGTAGCAAGAATAACTGTGATTATCGCGATAATAATTCAATAGTATTGCAACACTAACACAAAATCATTTCCATAACATAATACAAGAAAATGCTTTTTTTACATTTCAAATGGGGAAGTTTCAACAGGTTCTGCCCTTAACCCCCCCCCCCCCAAAGATTACATCCTTGACCCTGTGTGACATGGTGAGCATGGGGTTTGATGAACTGAGATTCCAATTCTCTAATCACTAGGCTATATCATTACTGACCATATTAGAAGCAGCACTGCTTGACCTTGAACTATCTGGTCTGTCACCTTCAGTTTGACCTTTGACACCTCCATGGTTGGATGATTCTGGAAGAAAAAAATCAAAAAATGAGTTTGAGTGCTGTATTGTCTAATAATTATACAATAGGCAAAATAGCCTCACTTGCCAACCAGAGGGAATTTCTCCCAAAGGGTGTCCACAAGTCTTGAGATTTTTTAAAATTTATCGATATCGTATATTGTTTTGGCCCTCATAAATATATTAAATGAAGTAAAAATACTTGAACAATTACTGATGGCACTCACAGAATGGTACCTTACGCACCTGCGTTCAAGCGAAGTGCTTATAAAAAAATTAAATAAAAATCTACACTTACGGCTTTGGTCATGTACATTGTTAGTTCTCTCATTCAGAGCTGATATTAGTTCGTTCTGCATTTCTTTTAAATATTTTCTCATTCCGTCATTTTCTTTCAACAATTGTTTTTGAGAGTCTTCGTAATTTGTGATGATTAAACGATACATGTCTTGCTCATTGCTATATAAGAAGAAAAATATTAAATAAAAAGGGGAGGCTTATTTATGGCCAACATTGGTTGGGTAAAGATATCTTCAGATATAAGCCAATCTCGCATATAAGCCCTAAAAACACTCTAAAATGTGGTTTAAACAAATGGCTCTCCCGTAGTTGGTGAGCCAAAATGGCGGACACCTGAACATAGTATGTGTACCAGATTAGGGTTAGGCCATAATTTTATTCCAATTTTCTTATTTTAGTTTATTACGAGTTCGGGGACTAGCAAATGACACCGGTATTATTTGTACCTGGAATTATGGCCTAACCCTAGCCTGGTACGCATAATACGTTCTGTGTCCGTCATCTTGGTTCACATACTACAGGAGTACCAAAAAATTTGCGTAGAAGCCGATATTACAAATTGTAACACGCCGTACAAATGTTATTGCTGTCATAGCAATGTAGCAAGATGATTACATATATTACAACCAATCACAGACTGTTATCGCTGTCATAACGTAACAGTCACTGTTTGCACGTGTGCGTGTACGCTCTTATCGTGAGAACTTGGTTCGAGTTGTAGCTGTTGGAATTAAGTTAGCATAATGTCAATTTGTTTGAGAGCGATCAGAATTATGCTTTTATCAGCCACCCCCTCAATTTGAAAATTTTTTTTTTTTGAGTTTTAAATTCATTCTCAGTGGATGCAAATCTTGCACGAGTACCATCCATAACTGACATTTTACTGTTTTGTCAATCAGCATGGAATCAATGGTCAGACTATGTTAATTAGGATTTGAAATTTTGACGACGAATTTCTCGCAAAAAAGCATTTTGTTTTCATTTTTAGAGAAGGAATTACCTTTTCTTAGTTTTATCTGTGCTCCATTTTCCACGCTTCCCGTCTGATCTTTGCAGAGAATTAAGAATTTCTATTCCAAGCATTCGTTCATGGCGTTTGTCCTGAAAAAGAAGAATGAAAAAAGAAATCAGTAGGAGCCCAGTTTTTTACTTTCAATTTTTCACAAATTTGCTCGTTCTTGCAAGGTTTTAGAATGTGTTTAAATGGAGAGTAAGAATGTTACTTTCCGCTAGTTAGTAATCACAATTAAAAATTTCTTCGTCTTTGTTTATCAATAGTCCTTTTAGTGCTTTAGTTTTCATTTATCATACAAAAAAAACTCGTTCAAACTTCCAATTGTTATTACTATAAAATCGGGCAAAACTTTTAGTTCTTATAAATACAAAATTGAGCGAAACTTTTTGGATACCATGTAAATGCACCCTGACACTTTTAACAGAACTTACCATGCAAGACTATAATAAATTTGATGCACTAAACATAAATCTTTATCGCATCAGTAGCCAATGACATTTTAATGGCGACCTATAGCTTTGCTCATTTATGAGTTACTTCTGAGCAGAGCTGGTTTGACATCTTGACTCTGTTTCAGCATTATTTTCTCACATCAGAGCTGGGCTCCGACTCCATACCCATTGAGGTTTTGAGTGTGACCACTATCATAAAATATCTGCCCAAAAGCAGTTTCGTGGAAGCGGGACTCAATAGTATGATATTAGGGTTTCAAATTTCAAAATTAAAGTTTTAAATATTTAAATTCATTTGAGATTTTGAACTAACAATATAAATTGAAATTTGTAAAAATTAATGATCTGAAAAGAATAGATTTTATTAGTTGTGTGACATTATAAATGTAAAAAATGATAACATTTCTGTTAGCTACAGCTTCATCTAACATGGTTAAATTGGCTCCAGCAAAATGTCAGTCCCGCGCTTCCGAGTTAGTGCATGTAGCTCTTAACATTTCAGAGTTGTAGTCGTTACAAATGGCTCTGAGTTAAATGTAAAATTTCACACAAGCTTGGAGTTTTTCACTTCTGTCCATGATCATATCCTTGCTTTTGGCAAACTTGCATAGAAAGGGGAAAAGACAAAAAAGCATTCAAACCTGTAATAACTGTTGCAAACGAGATTGCAATTTCTCTATCTCTTGGACCTTTTTTTTCTTTTCGTGACGAAATTGTGAATCTCTCGCCGTCATTTCAGCAGAAAGTTTTTTCGACTTGTCCTGCTCGAGTTTAAACTTCTTCTTGAGACCTGAAATATGAAGAGCAATGTGTGACATTATGTGATTACTCAAATGGTGAGTAACGCTACAACTCTTTAATTGTTGCAATGCATCTCATTCATCAGTCTGGCTCACCAGTACTTGTATAATCGTGTTAACTTGTAGACGTTTGTTAATAATAGTGTTTCAGTTGTTTGTTAATAAGTTGCTGCTGTTCTCAATAAATGGAATTTAGTTGTATGCGAGTTTCTATTCTGAGCAGATAGCAATCAAGCAATGAAACTAGTATTGAGATTATCAGTTAATTAAATATTATGTCTTCATATTAAAATCATATTAAGTAATACACATTGAAATGGAGAGGAAAACAGACCAAATAATCTGATATGTTAGACTCACAAATTACCTTCATGAAGTATAATAAATAGGTAGTAGGCAGAGAACTATTTTAAATTAAAGACTACGAAACAGGAGTTCTCAACCTTTTATCTCCCATTTAAAACTATAATACAGGGTGTCCATAAAGTCCCTTTAAATTTGAATTTTGTTGTAAAGTCAGTTCTCAATACATCACAGCCAGGTTTATTATTTTTAATCAGTAATTGTTCAAGTATTTTAGGTCATTCAATACATCTGTGATGTCCAAAACGATAAATTCACTTTGAAATTTTAAAAACTTTCAAGATTTTATTGAGATGCTGTACTTCAGATTGTGAGACCAAAGCATCACCACTGCAGTTGATAGGGGCACATTGTACGAAGGCACAATCAGTAAGAAACTGTAAGTCGTAACTCGTAAGTAATCTAACACTGAAAAACGTTTGAATTGTGAAGAACAATTTCATATCAGTTCGAACATTTCATCATTTTGTACAACCCTGGCTATTGTTTGCTTGTCAAGAGACCTTTAAAGAGAAAATACAACTTAAGAAATATATTTTACTCACTCTCCATTCTTTGTGACAGCTGTAGCTGCATCAATTCTTTTGATTTTAAATCTCGATCCTTATTCGCAATATCTTCCTAGAAATTTGAAAATAAAAATTGAATAATTCTCATAAATATCCTATTGTTATTAGTTATTTTACTCCGAATAAAGGTTCAAGCAAAGAATGAGGTTTGAGGAAATATTATATTTTGAAGGGACCAAAATCTTTCGGGTACTGAATTTTTCACCCAACTGATTTCCCCCAGGATGGGGTTAGTGGACATGGGGGGTCCTTGGGATGCCATCATTTACGTTTTCAAGTCTTTCACCCTAAAGGAGGCTCTGTACGAGCGGCCACTGATGCACAGGAAGTTACAGAAATTTAGAAAGACAAGAATCTTAAAAGTTTGGGATCGTGCACCCAATTATCACAGCCTAGATGGGTTGGGGGGACCGTCGCATTTCCTAAGCCTCTTCAAGCATTTGTACAAATGGCCACAGAAACGTGAGCGCAACTGAATTTCATACGAACCAGAATCTTACCGGTTCATTAGCGGCCAAATTTATTACACACTTGATGAGATGATTGGCAAGTGATTTGCATCTAAGATCTTTAATAATCTGTGATGTCGGCATGGCATATTATTAACTCTCAAGGAGGAAATTTTCTTTGATATCTGAAGCCTCCTTGAGATTCCAACAATCTTTTCATCTTTTATAAACCACTTATTATTTTACAGCAATTAAAATGACAAAATAGTAAATGATTTAGGTGTGCCTCCTTCAAAAGTCAATTTCATGGATCAATTGAAAGATAAGTGTCTAATAGAAAGCACTTCAACACCAGACATTGAGTATCAAGTATGTTTAAAATTGTTTTCAAATCACACTGCACTAGTGATCAAAAGAGAACGCATAATTGTTATTATGGAAGACAAAACACGAGACCATAAGCTCAGAAGTAGGTGATCCCCAAACCAAATTTTTTTAGACATTAATTTCTGGCCTTTGTTGCAAACAAGGCATTATAAAAGCAACCACTGCTGTCTAATGATATAGGACAGGGGTTCTCAAACCAGAGGTCACGACCCCAAATTGGTTCGGAGTGATAAGTAGGTAGGGTCGCAAATAGGTCGTGGGGTCGCTGAGGTATGGTAGAGTATTGATGTATAAAACATCTAAGATTTGACAAAACATGTTTAATTTAGTAGTTTGTACCATGGCTTACTGTAAAACAGGCCCATAAGCATTGCTCTATGCTTATGCTACAGAAAATGTAGGTGCTTATTGTGACATCACTGCTTGGTTTTAGCTTATTTTACTCAATACCACCATATGACCAAACTCAAAAGTCCAGTGAAAGAAGCTCTAAAGTTTCATGAAAAATATATATATTGACCTGGGGTCGCACTGGACACTTGAAAGTTGTCTTTGGGGTCGTCCTGAAAAAAGCTTGAGATCCCCTGATATAGAATAAACTTTTTTATCATTCAGAAAGACGAGAAACTTTCCGGTTCTGCGTTGACTACTCAATTTATTACACTCTGGATAAGATGGGAGGCATGGGATTTGAATCAGAAATGTGTACTCTGCTACACCAACACAGTTAGTATTGTAATCAGTAGGCCACCCCCTCTCCCCCCAACTCAAAAAATAATAATGAATTAATGGGGCTTCCGAAGTATGCTAACCAAGATGGCGGACATCGGAATGTAATATGTGTACTAGGTTAGGGTTAGGCCATAATTTTAGGTAAAAATACTACGGGAGGCTATTGGCTAGTCTTCGAACTGATAATAGGACGAAAATAAGGAAAATTGGAAAAAAATTATTGCCTAACCCCAACCTGTTACCCATGTTACGTTCCGATGTCCGCCATCTTGGTTCGCATACTTCGGGAGCACCGAATTAATGTTAATGACTTTTTTTTTCGACATTAAATTTTAAAATATGATATAGATCAAGGTTACTGAAACTGGGCACTCAACCTCTTAGGCAGTCACAGAGCAGTTTTCTGGGGCCATGATTTAAAGGCTCTAAACTAGGTACAATTTTGAAATAAATTGACTATGGTAAGTTAATTCGGTGCTCCCGAAGTATGCGAACCAAGATGGCGGACATCGGATCGTAACATGGGTAACAGGTTAGGGTTAGGCGATAATTTTTTTCCAATTTTCCTTATTTTAGTCCTATTATCAGTTCGAAGCCAAGAGCCTCCCGTAGTATTTATACCTAAAATTATGGCCTGACCCTAACCTAGTACACATATTACATTCCGATGTCCGCCATCTTAGTTCGCATACCTTGGGAGCCCCGTTAATTCTTTGCTCTGATGCATTTGTATTTTTGCTCCCGTTGATTTGTATATTCAATTCATTCAGAATATTCTAGGACAGGGGTCATCCACGGGCACTTAGTAGACTTGTGCAGAGTGTTTGTTAAATTTCCTAGGCTGCTATAGAAGTGGTCATTTGAAAAACACTGAATTTGAAAATACAGGGAGTCCTCGACTTACGACAGTGTTCCGTTCTCGAGACGCGGTGTAACCCGAATTTCAGTGTAAGTCGGAACATTATACTGTACAGTACATGAATTACTCTACACATATCGTACTGTATTGTAAAGTATGGTACTGTAATAAAATGTACAAATAATGCAAAAAAGTACTTAATTAAAAAATCAGAAAACAATTCCATGACCATATCACATGAATAAAAGCAAATACTGTACAGTACAGTATTATCTTTTATATTCTTTATGAAGTGCGTTCGTAACGTCGAAACAGCGTTATGGAGTGCGCGTTCGTAACCTCGAAACAGCGTAAGTCGCGACCGTTGTAACCCGAGGACTCCCTGTATACCTAAGTCTCATTGATATTAACCTACTTCCTATGATGTTGTAATTATTGATAATAATTTTGTGAAGAAGCTTAAACATTATCTGTGTCTCCTGTCTCCTCTCCTCATGGCTAAATACCAATAATAGTAATCAGGCAAATTGGCTTTCAGAAGTGTGCATCCAACTGGTTGGCCTCAGCCCTTAATCGGTACACTGGAAGTATCCTGTGGCTTTAAAAAGGTTGGTGACCCATGTTCTAGGATATTATAAAAAAGATAATGCCAGATTAATTATTGAATTGATACACAAGGAGAGAATTAAACAGCATTACTGCCTTCTTGTGTTATTAAGTCCTACCGAGTGCTATTGATAACTTAAGCTAAGATGCCTCTCATAAAGAGGAATTATCCTAATAAAAGGTTTTAAGGAAATTGAATTGTAACAAGCTTTAGATTGATGAATACACATGAATCAATTTTTTTTAACGTCTGGTTTTAAGCTATGCTTCTGTTTGACACAGGAATACGCTATATTGAGTAAAACCAATTTTGAATGTATTCCAATATTTATTTGTCTTGAACATCTTTTCTAAGTTCATGGTTATATCTACGTACTATTATTTTGGAATACGTAATACGGGGCTCCCGAAGTATGCGAACCAAGATGGCAGACATCGGAATGTAATATGTGTACTAGGTTAGGGTTAGGCCATAATTTTAGGTATAAATACTACGGGAGGCTCTTGGCTAGTCTTCGAACTGATAATAGGACTAAAATAAGGAAAATTGGAAAAAAATTATCGCCTAACCCTAACCTGTTCCCATGTTACGTTCCGATGTCCGCCATCTTGGTTCGCATACTTCGAGAGCACCCGTAATACAAATTAAAAACATTGAATCTTATTTAGGTGCAGTACAGTAGTCAGGGTTCCCAACCAGTGTTAACTCTAAGCAAATTATGAGTGCGAAAGTGCTTCGCAGTCCAAAAAATAAGTGCGAAAGTGCTTTTGCCGATTTTAACAAGTTAGGTGCCCTAGTCTTTCATATAACCCATTTAAAACGGCATAGATACTCGAAAAAGCGCTCCTCCGGTTAATATTATGAATTAAAGAGAAGCCTTTTCGTTAACGGAATCCCTTAAGCGAATTCATGTTTAATTAAAACAAGCGAATTCATCGGCAACGAAATGACATCTGCTAACACCTGCCTACCTACTTTCATGCAATGTATCAGGGTGTCAGTTGCTTACTCGCGTAAACAGCAAAGACTTTCACATTTGTTACTCCTTCCATCTAACAGACACGAGGCCGGCTGGAAGCCATATTAATTACAGGGTGGATCGTTTGTACAAATCCGGTGCAAAATAATCCCCCCCCCCCCCCCCAATATAAATAGCAATCAACTAATTAGGGTTAGGTGCGCTAGAAATTCAACTTTTCGATTCATCCCTAAACCTAATCTGATAATTATTAATTTGTGATTTTGAACCGCTTTGAAAGTCGCCACCCGCTGTTTTAAAAGATAGGTTAACCTACGTTCCCTCCGAAATATTATGCAGGATACTCCCCTGTTTTAGGAGATAGGTTGACCTACTTTCCTTTCAAACTTTTTTCTCCGAAATATTACACAAGATCACTTTGAAAATCCTCCTGTTTCGTGAGCTAGCGTGACCTAATTTCTCATTTACATTTATATTATACTATTTCAGAGCTTCCCCAAAGACAAGTAATTTTTAAATGTCCACATGCCTTGGTTTGCGTGCGAGTTAGTTTAAATCGGGCAGAAAACATCATATATTGGCAAAATGTTTAGTAATGTCATGTACTTTCAGCATTCATAAATAGCACTCTTTGTAATGCTGCTGACCTAGTATCAAATATTCGCATCACAACGCCACTTGCGAGGTTTCCATATATTTCAATTACACTAATAGGAACGATGACATCAAAGAGTTTTCTTTTGCGAAGGTACACTAAATATAACGAGGGTGATTCTTGAGAAAAACATGAATATAAAAAATAAACGAATGATATGATAATGGATCCCAAATAATTTTGAGAGTGTCTCGAAATACCAATCCATTTGATAAATAATTTTTATTCGACCACATGAACGCTGATACCCTGAAAATTAATGTTGAAAGAGAATTACGCATTCTCAGATATCGGACATTCAGTCCCGATATTCAATCGTTCATATGCACAAATCTCACATTAATAGTAATTGCTACCCAAGTTTGTAAAGTTTAGAAACCAACA